AGCATTGTGCAGATACACACCCCGGAGGAACATCCCCCCTTATTTTGTGGCTTTGGTTCCACAGGATGAGGAGTTGGATGACCAGAAAATTCAGGTCACTCCTCCAGGTATGTGGCAGAGATATTTCCAGGGCTTCTGAGCCTTGCCTATACTTTGGAATCATCCATGGGCTCCTAATGCAGACCTACTGAATCATAGTCTCTGGGAATGGGGCTTAAAAATGTCTATTTTTAAGGTTTAAAGTCAGATTTAACTTTATCTTATGCTTATTGACTAGAAGCTTGCTTGCTTTTGTTTTGGGCCCATATCTGCTACTTGTTAGCTGGTCAACGTGGGCAAGTAGTTTAACCTTTCTATTTAATATATCTTAGCTGCAAATATGAGCGTTTTGGAGCACCTTTCCCTCAGGGTAGTTCTACATTTGAGATGAATTACTGTAGTTTTAACTTTGATCCTCAGCATGCTCAGGAGTGCTTAGTTAATAAGCTGTTGTCTCGGCTTCAAATTCACCCGTTTATGCTCTGCACCACTGAGGCTGAGATGATCTAAGCCTCATTTCTTCTTTCACTGATGGCCCTCAGGCTGTGTCTATAGTGGGTGCTAAAAGGGACACCAAAGGGAAGAGGAGAGGTGAGGGACTTGCTCCTTTCTGTTTGTTCAGTGTGGTCAGCATTGCCAGCAGAGCCTTTCACCTGGTAACAGCAGTTAGTTACTGGGCCTAGATTTTTTAGTCCTTCCAGAACCAGTCAGTAACTGAACTAAGATCAGCCTGATAACCCTTACCTGTTTGCTTTTATTTATCATGTGGTAGAGGGTAAAGAAAAAAGGGATGAGGGTGAAGCTCAGAGGAGGGCCCGGTGGAGCTGGGACTTGGCCCTCCAGGGAGGAGGCACTGTCTGGCTGTCTCTGGATGTTTCACAAAAACTGGGAACCAGAAACAACTGCTGCCATGTAAAGGGTCTTTGCTGGGGCAGTACAGACAGGAACAGTAAATACAGGAGGGCCCCAAACACAGCTTTGCTTTCTACAGTTTCAGTTACCCATAGTCAACCATGGTCCAAAAATTTTTAATGGAAAGTGAAATAACTTAAAAGCACCATCCCACCTGGGACAGGAATCATCTGTTTGTTCAGCATCTCCACACTGTAAATGCCACCCACCCATTAGTCACTTAGTAGCCGTCTTTGTTATCAGATTGACTGTCAAGGTCACCAGTATTGCAGTGCTTGTGTTCAAGTCAACCTTATTTAATAAAGGCCCCAAAGCACAAGTGTAGTGGTGCTGGCAATTTGGATACACTAACAAGAAAGTCATAAAGTGCTTCCTTTAAGTGAAAAGGTGAGAGTTCTTGACTTTAAGGAAGAAAAAATACCATATGCCGAGGTGGCTAAGATCTGTGGTAAGAAGGACTCTACAAAACTGTGAAGAAGGAGAAAGAAATTCGTCTTAGTTTTATTTTTTTCTTTTTATACATAAATTGAGATGAGGTCTCACTATGTTACCCAGGCTGGTCTCAAACTCCTGAGCTCAAGTGATCCTCCTGCTTCAACCTCCCAAAGTGCTGCGCTTACCGACTTGAGCCACTATACCCGGCCCAAGCTAGTTTTGCTGTTGCCCCTCAAACTGTAAAAGTCACTGCCACAGTACATGAGAAGGGCTTAGTTAAGATAGAAAAGGAGGCCAAGCATGGTAGCTCACACCTATAATCCTAGCACTTTGGGAGGCCGAGGCAGATGGATCACTTGAGCCCAGGAGTTTGAGACCAGCCTGAGCAACATGGTAAAACTCTATCTCTGCAAAAAATATGAAAAATTAGCCAGATGTGGTGGCATGCACCTGTAATCCCAGTTATTTGAGAGGCTACTTGAGCCTGGGAGATAGAGGCTACAGTAAGCTGTGATCACACCACTGCCTTTCAGCCTGGGTGACAGAGCAAGACCCCATCTCAAAAAAAATGGCGAGGTGGCTCACGCCTGTAATCCCAGCACTTTGGGAGGCTGAGGCAGGCAGATCACAAGGTCAGGAGATGGAGACCATCCTGGCTAACACAATGAAACCCCGTCTCTACTAAAAATACAAAAATTAACCAGGTGTGGTGGCACGTGCCTATAGTCCCAGCTACTCAGGAGGCTGAGGCAGGAGAATCCCTTGAACTTGGGAGGCGGAGGTTGCAGTGAGCTGAGATCACGCCTGGGCCACAGAGCGAGACTGTCTCAAAAAACAAACAAAAGGTGAAGGCTGGCTGTGGTGGCTCATGCCTGTAATCCTAGCACTTTGGGCAGATCACCTGAGGTCAGGAGTTTGAGAACAGCCTGGCCAACATGGTGAAACCTGTCTATACTAAAAGTACCAAAATTAGCTGGGCATGGTGGTGCGCACCTGTAATCCCAGCTACTCAGGAGAATTGCTTGAACCTGGGAGGTTGCAGCAAGCCAAGAGTGCTCGACTGTACTCCAGCCTAGGTGATGAGTGAAACTCTGTCTCAAAAAAAAGATGAAAAAGACATTAAATATTAAATTTATGAGTGTTAAGACATGGTCAGAAATGTGTTTCAGTTGATGGCAGTCAGGCTTGGTGCTATCTGAGGTTTCAGGTATCCTCCAGGGTTCTTGAGACATATCCCCCAGGTATATAAGGGGTCTACTGTATACAGGAAGGGGCACCCGTCCTCCCTTGCAGTCCTCTGGAAACTCCAGAGGGAGTCTGTTAGGCAGATCATAACAAGAAACAGCTGGTGAAGGAGAAATGGTGTCTATAGGGCCCCAGCCCCAGCGCCACAGGACATAGAAGGGTGAATTTGGAGCTAAGAAACAAGTGACTGCAACACTTGAAGTCAAATCACAGAAAAGTTATCTCCCTTCTACAGGCTTTCAGCTGGTCTTTTTACCATTTGCTGATGATAAAAGGAAGATGCCCTTTACTGAAAAAATCATGGCAACTCCAGAGCAGGTGGACAAGATGAAGGCTATTGTTGAGAAGCTCCGCTTCACGTACAGGTGAGTGAATCTCAGACTTTCTTCTGGAACTGCCTTCTGAGTTGAGAATCTTATTAGATATTCATCTTGGGCATAGACCAAGAGAATGGCACTATTCTTTTCAGCAAACTGACAGATATTAACAGTGTTTGAAAGCCATATACAGAGTGGAAGCTCTTACTGTATTTGAGACTCGGATTGTGTGCTTGATGTGTTGTACTGTACTTGGCCAGATTAGTTGGTCAAACATGTTAAAAAAAAAATAATAATAAGGCCAGGCGCGGTGGCTCAAGCCTGTAATCCCAGCACTGTGGGAGGCCGAGGCGGGTGGATCACCAGGTCAAGAGATTGAGACCATCGTGGTCAACATGGTGAAACCCCGTCTCTACTAAAAATACAAAAAATTAGCTGGGCATGGTGGTGCGTGCCTGTAATCCCAGCTACCGAGGAGGCTGAGGCAGGAGAATTGCCTGAACCCAGGAGGCGGAGGCTGCGGTGAGCCGAGATTGTGCCATTGCACTCCAGCCTGGGTAACAAGAGCGAAACTCCGTCTCAAAAAAAAAAAAAAAAAAAAAAAAAAAAAAAAAAAAAAAAAAAAAAAAAAAAAAAAAAAAAAAAAAAAAAAAAAAAAAAAAAAAGGCGGGAAAATTCTTAGTCCAGCTTCTCCTTGATTGTATTTGTTGTTCTACAATGAGCAAGAGTAAATAAATCTAGTGTAAATTGTTACAGGCTTAAAAGAATGATTAAGTAATTCAAGTCATTCTTTCTCATATGTATAATAGACCTGTTCTGAAAGCCTGCATAATGGAACACTAAACATAATTTTTTTTCACATGCCATTTAAAAAATTTTTTTATTTTAATTATATTACTTTGAGATAAGGTCTCTGTCACCCAGGTTGGAGTGCAGTGGTGTCATTGTAGCTCGCTTGCAGCCTTGGCCTCTCTGGGCTCAGGTGATTCTCCCACCTCAGCCTCTGGAGTAGCTGGGACCATAGCCTTGCATCACCATACCCAGCTAATTTTTGTATTTTTTGTAGAGACGGGGTTTCACCATGTTGGCCAGGCTGGTCTCGAACTCCTGAGCTCAAGCCATTCACCTGCCTCAGCTTCTCAAAGTGCTGAGTTATGGGCATGAGCCAGCATGCCCAGCCAGGTTTACTTTTTAAGTTGACTTGAGATGAAGTCTTGCTCTGCCATCCAGGCTGGAGTACAGTGGCATGATCATGGCTCACTGCAGCCTCGATCTCCTGGACTCAAGCAGTCTTCCTGCCTAAGCCTCCTGAGTAGCTGGGACCACAGGCATGCATCACCATGCTTGGCTGATTTTTAAATTTTTTGTAGAGATAGGGTTTCAACATGCTGCCCAGGCTGGTCTCAAATTGCTGGACTCAAGCATTCTGCCTACCTTGGCCTACCAAAGTGCTGGGATTATAGGCATGAGCCACTACACCTGACTCAACTGTTTCACTTAGGGTGTTTTTCTCAGCTCACCGTGGACCTCTGATATCACAGGCGGTTTTATTTATTCTTATTTTTTCAACGTTTAAATTGTCATGTTTCAATTGAGTAACATTATTGTTTTAACAGAAGTGACAGCTTTGAGAACCCCGTGCTGCAGCAGCACTTCAGGAACCTGGAGGCCTTGGCCTTGGATTTGATGGAGCCTGAACAAGCAGTGGACCTGACATGTAAGGAGTTTGAGTCGAGTAGTTCTTTTAATGGGAGGCTTTCTTACTGGTTCCATTCTGAACCAGTAATGTGGGTGCATTTCCTAGTACCCTCTAAACACTTAACCTCATTGCCCAGACCCCCTCTGTTTGGGAGCTTTTCTAGACCAGCTTAAACAGCCAGGGAACAGATTTGGCTGGTTTCATAGTGAGAGGAGGAGAGTGCCAGGCTCCTGAAACCTGACTCTGAACTAGGCTACCCTATGACTACATGCTGGTGAAAATTAAAAATAATATAAGAGGCTGGATGCAGTGGCTCAAGCCTGTAATCCCAACACTTTGGGAGGCCGAGGCGGGTGGATCATGAGGTTAGAAGTTCAAGACCAGCCTGGCTAACATAGTGAAACCCCGTCTCTACTAAAAATACAAAAATTAGCTGACAATGGTGGCGTGCGCCTGTGGTCCCAGCTACTTGGGAGGCCGATGCAGGAGGATTGGTTGAACCCAGGAAGCAGAGGTTGCAGTGAGCCAAGATCCTGCTACTGCACTACAGCCTGTCGACAGAGCAAGACTCTCAAAAAAACAAAAAACAAAAATATAAGAGGAAGTGAGTGGTGGATTTGGGTTTAGAATCCTGTGACTCCTGGCTGGGTGCAGTGGCTCACGCCTGTAATCCCAGCACTTTGGGAGGCCAAGGCAGGAGGATCACCTGAGGTCAGGAGTTCAAGATCAGCCTGGCCAAAGTGGGGAAATTCTGTCTCTACTAAAAATACAAAAGCAGTTAGTGGGGCATGGTGGTGCGTGCTTGTAGTCCCAGCTGCTTGGAAGACTGAGGCA